GCAAATCACAATAATTGTAAACAAAAATGGTGTCATCACAACAGAACAAACTGAAATAAAAAAAGATATTGACAGAATATTATGAAAAACTGTACTCCAACAGATTTGAGAACCTAGAAGAGATGGACAAGTTTCTAGAATCACAAGACCTACCTAAACTATCCTGCTCAGAGATAGAACACTTGAACAGACCTATAACAAAAGAAGAAATTGAGCAGGTTATAAAAAAATACTTCCCACAAAGAAAAGTCCTGGCCCTGATGGCTTCACTGGAGAATTTTATCAAATAGTAAGAAAAGAGTTGACACCTATGCTACTCAAGCTATTCCAGAACATAGAAAAAGAATGTATACTCCCAAACTCATTTTATGAAGCAAGCATAACACTCGTACCAAAACCAGGAAAAGACACCACTAGAAAGGAAAGCTACAGACCAATATCCCTCATGAACATAGATGCAAAAATCTTTAACAAAATCCTAGCCAACAGAATCCAACAACATATCAAAAAATTAATACACCCTCTCCAAGTAGGATTCACACCCAGGTATGCAAGGGTGGTTCAACATCAGAAAAACAGTCAATGTAATCCACCACATAAACAAAACCACATAAACAAAACAAAAGAAAAGAACCATATGATTATGTCAATTGATGCATAAAAAGCATTTGATAAAATCCAACACCCGTTCCTGTCCAGAACTCTCAACAAAATAGGGATAGAAGGGAAATTCCTCAACATAATAAAAGGTATGTATGCAAAGCCAATGGCCAACATCATTATTAGTGGAGAAAGACTTGAGGCATTCCCCTTATGAACAGGAACCAGACAGGGATGACCTCTATCACCACTTCTATTTAACATTGTATTGGAAGTCCTGGCCAGAGCAATAAGGCAAGAAAGAGAAATAAAAGGCATACAAATTGGTAAAGAGGAACTAAAACTATCTCTATTTGCGGATGATATGATCCTGCACATAGAAAACCCAAGGGACTCAATAAAACAACTACTGGAACTGATAGAGAGGTTCAGCAAAGTAGCAGGATACAAGGTCAACATACAAATATCAGTTGGATTCTTCTACACCAACAAAGAGTCCTCTGATAAAGAAATAAGAGAAACAATGCCATTTACAATAGATACTAAAAAGATAAAATACCTAGGAATGAATCTCACCAGAGACACAAAAGACCTATACAAAGAAAACTATAAAACACTGCTACAAGAGGAAACAAGGGCACTACATAAATGGAAGAACCTACCTTGTTCATGGATAGGTAGAATATTGTGAAAATGTCAATACTACCTAAAGCAATCTACACATTTAACATAATCCCGATCCAGATTCCAACAAAAATTTTAAGGACATGGAGAAACCAATTACTGATTCCATATGTAAAAGAAAGAGACCTCAGATAAGCAGAGCAGTTCTCATGAAGAAAAACAAAGTGGGAGATCTCACACTCTCAGATCTTAAGAACTACTGTACAGCCACAGTAGTCAAAATAGCATGGTATTGGTACAATGATAGACAGATAGACCAATGAAACAGAATCAAAAGTCCAGATATAGACCCATCCATCTATGGAGAACTGATCTTTGACATAGGTCCAGAATCTGTTAAATGGAGAAGAGACAGCCTCTTTAACAAATGGTGCTGGCAAAACTGGATATCCACTTGCAGAAAAATGAAACAAGACCCATACCTCACACCATACACATAAACACACTCAAGCTAGATCAAAGACTGAAATGTAAAACCCAAAACTATAAAATTCATCAAAGATAAAATAGGGGCAAATCTCAAGCCCTAATTTACAGCATAAATAGACTGTTGTTGTTATGTGCTATCGAGTTGGACTCGACTCATGGAGACCTCTCCTTGGGTTTCTGAGGTGGTATCACTACGGAAGTAGATTGCCCAACCTTCCTTCCGAGGAGTGGCTGATGGGTTTGAACCGCCAGCCTTCTGGTTAGCAGTCAAGTGCCTTAGGCACTATGCTACCAGAGCTCCTATCAAGCGTAATTCAAAATGCACAGGCAGGGAGACAGAAACTAGATGACTTTTAAAATGAAATTCGTATGCGCATCAAAAGATTTCGTCAAAAGGGTCAAAAGAGAACCCACAGATTGGGAGAAAATATTTGCCTATGACATATCTGACAAAGTACTTATCACCAAAATCTATAAAAAACTTCAACACCAAAAAGACAAATAACCCAATTCAAAAATGGGCAAAAGACTTAGACACTTCAACAAAGAAGATATACAGGCAGCCAGCAAAGAAATGAGAAATTGATCACGATCATTAATCATTAGAGAGATGCAAATCAAAATGACAATGAGATATCGTCTCACCCCAGCAATAATAGCAAAGTTCTACAAGGTCAGAAAATAACAAATGCTGGTGAGGTTGCGGAGAGATTGGAACTCTTGTGCACTGCTAGTGGGATTGTAAAATGGTACAACCATTGTAGCAAATGGTATGGTGCTTCCTTAAAAAACTGAAAATAGAAGTACCATTTGGCCCAGCAATTCCATTACTAGGAATATATCCTAAAGAGGTGAAAGATAGCACACGAACAAACATATGTACACCTATGTTCATCGCAGCACAATTCACTATAGCAAAGAGGTGGAAACAACCTAAATGCCCATCAATGGATGAGTGGATAACCAAATTATGGTGCATGAACACAATGGAATACTGTGCTACATTAAAGAACAATGAGGGATATGCAAATCATCTCACAACATGGATGAACCTGGAGGACATTATGTTGAGTGAAATAAGTCAATCTCAGAAAGACAAGTACTGTATGAGCCCATTGCTGTAAAAAGACAAAGAAGGGTTTGCTTGGGAAAGGGAACTCACTTTGTAGGTTACCAGGATGGAGAGGGAAGGGAAGGGATTAATTTCTGGCTAGTTGGGGCCCACATACTGATGTGGGTAAGGGGAGGGTTATACTGAATGGATCTGTGACCACCATGTTAATATTTGGAAATGGGAGGTCAGGGAATTGTGCACATAAGAGATAGATGACAGATGCTAATACCAACCTATGTGTCCATAATACTGCA